CGTTTGTCCTCCTTCATTTTTTTTAAGTTTACCACCTTCAAATGTTAAAAATCTGATCCTTTCTTGGCTTTATTCGTTCCCTGAAAGTCCTAGAAATGGTGTCTAACTGCCCACGCCGATTTAGGCCCCAATAGCTCTACGTCGGATAATTTACACTGTTTACGTTAATGTCTGTTTTCCGCGCAACCCCCAGCACTTGAAAAATTCCACCCTTCGTGCTTTGGTTCTGACTGGAAATGTATGATCATATCTAACGTCATGCCAATCACTAGTTAGAAATAAACAGCATCATTATTATCTGGCTGTTTTTGAGCCGCAAACCGGATTCGCCTATCAAAACAAAAGCCCCAGGTTGCAGAAACTACACGAGAGAAAGTGCAATCTAAACTGCCGATGAGAATGCTACGGTAAGGGGCTCAAATAACATCGTTGACAAAATCCATCTATAAACTATATAAAGATATGACAGCGGATAGCCCAAGATATGGAGCACAACGTAGTAGCGACAATAACGGAGCCGGATGTCAGCGTGTGCGGCCGAAACACGTCGCGGTCTGCAATTAGTTTCAACCTGTCTACAAAATACACCTCTGAGCAAGCCATGGCTGCCTCTATATTTGCTTGCAAACAAGCCACTTGCGACAATATACAAGTAGATGAATACTTAACCGATCAAAAATTACCCTGCGCAATCTAAGAATGTGTCCAGGAGACTGAAATTCCAACAACAGACGTGGCTTATTCCCCGGTCTAACATTCAAATTAAACGGCAATAATGAAACAGTGGCTCATTTTCAACCTGAGGGTTAGGTTTTAGACGATGTTGACTAGATGAAGGCCCAGCTGTGAGCATGTAATCGAGAAGATGCATGGATTTTTCAGCATCTTATTTCCAACTGGGTGTTATTCGATTAAATATAAATCGGCCAAGGGGCATGATGGGTACATTTGGAAGCATTATTTATATTTTGGACCAAAATTTCATGGAACGCGATGTCACACAGGCATGTGCAACCTGACCACTGTATACTACGTATGTGTCATCGGAACCCAACCAGGGTCGCTCGGTGCACCCATTGACCCTGTGACACTACAAAATATAAGGTTCCAAATTTGAACGGTATACTGTAAATCCGACTGCCAAGGTTACATATACGATCGATTACAGTTAAATTCATGCACAGCTTCGGCTTCTGGCATGAAATGACTGACTTGGATGATGACAAGCTGCCTCTCTTGGGGATTGGGCAAAACACTACTGCATCGAGATTTGCACATCGAATTCCGTCTCATAGGTTGGCGTACATTCACATTTAAGCTAGTTAAAAACCTATATGAAATTAACCTTAAGGTGAGATTCGCAGGCAGACCAAAAATTGCAAAAACGAAATTACAACGAGGTAATCCCTGCGACAAACGAAACCACTGGAAAATCCCAAAAGCCCTCCGAGAGCTAGCCGACAGCACAACTGTCATTAAATTCTGGTCCTCAATTTCAAAACCAACTGTAATGAGGTGCCTATCTTTCAGAATGATCGTGGCGAGTGACTTGTGATGTATCTTCTGAAAAGACTTCATACATCGTCGCTCGCGATGAAACCGGCTCGAAACCTTAGCCAACGAACGTTTAATCTGAGACCTAATAATCCCACGCAGGCGGCAAATAATCTGACTGCTCCAACTAAATTCATTTAATTCAACGTGCTGGTAGCCAGAGTAACATAGGTTATCAAGAAAAATCCATCTCCAGAGCAGCTTGCAGTGGAGTCTCTCTACCTCCGGAACTCCTAAGCTTAGAGCGGCCTAATTAAACGGTGTATTCACCATTTAAGTTGTAATTCTTGCGCACAAGGTGTCGCAACCTTCGCCACGAAATCAGACATCAGAATCTTACTCCGAATTTACCTCCGCAGAATCAAAACCCAATCAGAGGACCATGCACTAGCCTCGTGGACAAAAATATATCGTCGTAAGAGGACCATGCACTAGCCTCGTGGACAAAAAATGTATCGTCGTGAGGCCTGTCCCCCGAACAGTCGGGCTTATCAGTTCCAAGCCTCTTACTCACATTTAAGTCGGGCTTATCAGTTCCAAGCCTCTTACATTTGACCAGGTATCCTTCCAGAAAAATCAAAATCACTCGTAAAAAGCCGCACGATTAAAGAGTCCGGCTCCCGTGATGATCGAAACTGACCCAAATACTAGCTTTATTTATTCGAAGAAAAAACGCAAGCAAATTCTTGTCCAGTTATGTGCGCAATACCCTGTCATATTATCTTTATGCCAACAGTTGCCGCGCACTCCTTTTGTCAATCGTAGCCATGTCCATAATTCCATGTCCAACATCCTTCAATCACCTTTACCTCACATTCGGCAATCCGCCTTATTAAGTTTGACGTGTTGCCAAACGCAATCCCAGCCCTTATCAACCCTATCAGCTGATCGGTTTTCATCTGTTTACACGAATGTTCCCAATTATTCATCCTTCACCATCAGTAAGTCTTGCTATTCTCACTCGTCCCCGTCCTTCCTGTCCACCTGAGCATAACCGAGTAAAACTACCATCCAGCCGTATTATACTGCTTTGCACACCTTTGGGCCTAGATAAATCTGAAGGAATCGTACACGGAAGAATTCTGAGTCGTGAGCGCCAGAAAGTAGTTTAAGTTTTGTGCTTGCGCAACATACTAGCTTTCAAACTTCTCACCTCATGGTACAGGTTTGCTTTAATCAAATAAAATGTATTGAAAACCGATACTCTGAGGTCAGAAGGTCCGTTATTTTCTCTTCCGTCGCGGTGGCAGCTGGAGCATGTGGGACTTCGCCATCGGTTTTTCCCTTAAGGTCGGTCATTCTTATTCGTAGAAAGTGTTTGAATTTGAGTGCATTACTGAACAAAACTGACTGAGCCATATAGGTGTTCTTCTCCACAAAAGAGCGACATGCACGAATGAAAAGACAACCTCAGTCGTCTGCGCCCACCCAATCCCTAACACCACACACGAAGTAACAATATCCCGAAACAACGCCTTCCAAAGTTTTGAGAAGAAACTTAAGGCCCTGGGTCTCAGCAATAATACCAGTGCTGATAAGACTACCATTTGTCGGCTTTTTATTGATCACTGTCGAGTTTGGGCTCCAACAAGGAACAGAAGACTGGCATTGTCCTCCCCAGAGCATCTTACTTTGCATCATTGCCGATCAACTCACTTCTTGGTGATCTAGTAAACCCCCCATAAAAATTTCTTGGGACTTTCCCAGGCATGCATGCAGCATTAACTCGTCGATAACTCACCGGATGATTCTTGAAACCCAATGTCAACATGAAATACGTGACCGCTGTCTGCCAGTAGCAGCGTAGCTCGCAGCTCCTCGGAAACCTCAAATACAATCTCACACGCTGTCCGTCAGTAATGTTCGCTAACCTTCTTCATACTTGGGGATGAGCACATCTGGCACCCGAAGTCACCACATTTGCTCAGAAAAATCCTGATGAGTCTGAATATCAGCAAATCTATAAGTGCATCGAACACCGTGTGCGCACAGCCAGTAGTGGGCTCATCGGAACCTACTTTTCAGTGTTCGATAGCGCCGGAGACATAGGTACCCGATTGACTCCAAGCCCACATTAGAGCGCCTAAACATCTGGTGGAAAGGTTTACCATTTTGTCCTTTCCGTTATGCGTGATATTGATGTAGCATGTTTTTAACCAGTAGCGAGAATTATCTGAACGAGCGGTGCATGTTTTCCGGGTTATGGCTAAGCTGGTCCCTTAAACTAGCTGAGGCAGATTGCGACAGTCCAGCCACGATTGTGCATTTTACCCGTGAATGAAAGATTCGACTGACTGTTTCTATCCGGAAAATGTTTTCCAAATCGTTAGAGTAGTTGGCTTCCTCCAGTGCCGCTGTGCAGTGCATCCAGTTAGAGTGGACGTGTTTGAAGCTCCTTACTTGGTAATGCGGACAATGGTGTAAGTTTGGCTTGAATAGTTCGATTTGGAGGGCTGACGTGACCAATTGTGGCTAGCCTCTGTACGGCGCCATTTGTTGAAAGTGACGTGGGATAAGTGACTATAGGATATTCTGCGCAAGATTGCGTTTCACCGCAGGGTTGAAGTCTCCACGGATGCGTCTGCGCCATCAATGTCGAGGACCGACGTTATGCTGTCGACGATGATAATATGCACCATCAAAATATGTGCAGGTCATATCAAGATTTTTACTATTTGTCTTTCCTCCGGCATGCCACTACTCTGGCTTCCTCCTGGCTCGGCTTTGTCCAAACATGCGCCACGAGTAAAAGCGGACTTTCAGTGCGATTAAATAAGAGCTACAAACATGTTGTATGCCCGCTGTTTCCGTAAATCTCGTGCCGTAAATCCGAGACGCCTTGATGTTCCTGAGCCCCATTAGAGTCGTTTATGGCTGTGTCTGAAAAACATTATTTTCAAGAAAAAATCAGATGACCTGGCTTCTTATGAATTTCTCGATAATTTTCATGATCACCAACGCGGAAAGATAAACAAACTCTCGATGTACTCATCAACTTCATTGACAGGGAAACCTGTTTCTTCTTTTTTCAGCCACTTATGTTGCAACTGTGAGCAGCCGTGGACCGTCTTCTACTAAAACCTACCACTATTCGAAGCTATGATATTGCACGTACCCACTGAAATGGTTTGGCCTCAGCTAAACGACTTCCTAGTTTACTCGAGCAGAGAAGTCAGCACTATTATGGCTGCAATTCAAACCAACAGTTAAAAAAAGGTAGATGCAGCTTCCATGGAAAATGGAAACAACCATTGTTTGCACTGTGTGGCTCACTCTGAGCCTAAAATGGACTAAGTCAATGAATGGTTCAACTTTTAAGGTCACAAATCCTTTTGAATTATTTTGTTGTTATCACGAGCAGCAGGCGGCCGGACTGGTTTTTGACGAGACTAATGGTAAATTCTGATCGTGCTACCATGTGATTTTCAAACAGCACAGGATTAATCCCGGTATTCTACCGCGTTGCCCGGTGAAAGACTTGGTCTCTGACTATCCATGTCCTGGTTATTACAAACACAATCCTTTGGTTACTTCGCTGCCCAATCGTACTCCATGCGGAAAGGGAGAGGCTCTGTGTTCACTCGGCATTTTTGTTGATATGTACTGCAGACGTACGCAGATTCCATTACATATAAACTGTGGGGACGCCGCCGAGACGACTAACGCCCGGGAAGATACAGTTACAAATTGGGACCAGCTCCTGAAACTTTTACACATTATGTCCAGTAAAAAAGTTAACGTTACGCTCCAACTTGGTGGACTATTTGACTCATCTTTACTCAAATGCACCCATGAACTCGAAACGATTTTTGGTGCTCTGAAAGAAGCCTTTGAAAGGCACCCCGTGAAGGTTAGTCCATATACACGCTCTTTTTTGACTACCCAGCTATCTGCCTCTGCAAATATTAGCCCATTCAATCACTGCTCCGCCATTTTCACTCACACAAATTCAGTTAATTCGTTAAACTATTCATTAATTTATTCGTAATTGATTAGGATCGAGATAGCCCAGTGTCCAAGTCATCAAATTACTGACTGCTGCTGTTGGAAACTGGGCAGGTTGGCAGCAACTCAGTCCCCGCCTTCTTTTGAATGGCACGCAGGCTATGCTCTGAATGCGTGTTAAGGATCAGCGATTAGTTATTCCTCTTATTTTGCCTATTAGAAACCTTATTTCTCAGCGTCTCCAATTATCCTTATTAGGAATCATGCAGACTCCTTCAATACTGCGGGTTGTATTGTCAAAAGACAAGTTTTCCTTAGTCGATTTAATACATTGTCCAGTCCACTGTTTGACTAGCACTCTGAGTCACCCTTAGCTCACCACGGAAAACAGCACTTTTCTGCGGTGATTCGGCTTGTTCAATATGGGGTCTGACCACCTCATTCTATGGTGATGCGTAAGGTGTGCAAGTAAAAATAAACCCAGTAGATTCAGACGATGTATTTTATTTTTAGACCAAATACATTTTTCTTGTCACACGTACCCACTTTCTTGAATATAACATTGATACCATTCTTTTAAACGTTTCCTCTTGGTCGTTTTTTGGTGTAAAAGCTAATTTCACTTTGTTCAGTATTTGAAATTTCGGCGGTGTCCGGCGGTCAAATACATTCTTCAACTTTCCAGACATTTTGTGGCACCGTATATGACCTCTCGTGAACATCAAGGCGATAGATCACACTTTAACTTGGACTTACCGGATCCGGTGGTATAAGGCAAAGCTCAGATAATATTCATCTCTTTGGTTCGAAACATATTAGGACACAAACCATCTTAAGTAACCTAAATAACTCTGCCGCATGGTTTGGAACGCGTTTCATACCTGTAAACTCTAAAGTTCTGCTATAATACTCGGTGTGACCGAATCCAATTCTCATGCTAACGGACCAGCCAATGAACGCGACTGGTAAGTTCAACTGCCAGAAGACGTTTGTAGGTTTTGATAAAGTGGTTAACAAGCTGTGTAAACTAAGGTGAGGTTTTTCAAGATATGGCGCTGGTGTGATATAATTTTTGTCTCTTAATGGAAAATCACACGGTGTGGTTATGCGACCCGTACCACGTGATGGATCGATACCATGGCCTCTGTCTGCAGAGAAGGTACGAAAGCCGCCATTGTCTCTGAAGCGTTGGTCGCGTTTGATGGGTTACGCCAAATGGTTTTCGGAAAGTAGACCTCATTCACGGTGAATCAGTTACGCACGTTTCATAGATTATGCAATCAGAACACGTTCTCCACAAAGCAGAGAATAATACACCTTTCAGAGCTTTTTTGACTTGAATAGAAAGGACCAAAATGTGGCAGTCTATAGCCTGGCAACCAAGTGTGAATTTACTAGGCAGTAGACTGTTAGGTTAATGACTGCTACCTCCGTGGTTTGAGGCCCCCTGGCCCGTTTGACCACTAGTTGGCGACACTGACAAACATGGCCCAACCGCACAATAAATTGCACATCTTCATAACAGCTGTCGTTTTTGTATCCAAATAACTACCCTGATCCTGTACAAACTAATTTGTTTTGCTATCGCCAACAGTGTTTGTCTGTATCTTTTTAGCTCTCCAGCAGAATATTGCTACGCGTTTCGTACTAACTGATAGGTGGTCATAACTACTATCCTCCTCCTAAAATTAATCAACACTGCCGTCGTAATCGTGAACGCTGGACAGTTATCCTCAGTATGAAGCCAGTACAGTATTTTAGAGGCTTCCCAATAATCTGCAGCCCGACACATAAGCATAATACACATCCCATTCATGAAGATACTTTTTATTATTGACGAAAGAATTTAAATAAATGACTGCACGCGTAATGAGGTGAAGTTAATTCCGTGAATTAAGAATGAATGGCTCTTTATACTGCCCAGGAGCAAGCTAATCTCACTGCTAGTCAGCCGTTCATGGCCGAACGGTAAAGTGTTCAACTAGTTGTGAGGTCGCAGCCTCAAAATCCTCTGATTTTTGTTGAAAGCACTTGTCGTAATTCTCAATAAGATTAAAGCAGCTTTACAGTGTTTTTGGCTTCTCAGCACGGACAAGCTTTAATTACGGGACAAACTACCCATTGGAAGTAGAAGTGACCTTGATTCACATAATGTCTGTCATTTTACATATGTTAAACGCAGCTGTTCTTTTCGCTTAATTTTTTAAGATTTTGCACTCAATGGGTGATCAGGAGACAGCGGTACGTTCGGAATACATGAGAAGTTTCCTTGCCAAATCTATGAAAGAATATGGGCTGATTAAAGAACCGCTTCGGTGTTGTGGATCGGCTTATTACACGGTATGTATCTTTGTGTAAATTGGATGGTTTCATAATATTGCAAGTAAATACAGCTCATTTGTCAAGTTTGGTAGCATATATAAGTTGCATAAGCTAGGTACCTTAACAATTTTCCAGAAAAATATGACAGAATTACCGTCTCACAGAAGGACCTCATAAATGGTCAGTAAATTTGATGCTGGGTAAAATTTTCTGTTGGCACAAAAGGTTTTTTAGTCCTGACAGGATTATTACTATTTGAGACGAGTTTTAAGACAGATAAAGTAGCTGTAACCCAAGTCGTCTTAGCCAGCACACTAAATGAGACTTAGATGTCGGTTTAAACCATATTTTCGGTTGATATGTGTAACATATTTCTGAAACTTGTGGATTGGGGGTCTTGGTCAATTGGGCTAAAGTGTTAGAAGTTGGTTTTCCGGTTTTGAAAACTCCAACTAATGTTCTTTTCTGCTTGTTGTTGAAACTTTGTTTTGCTCCGTAAAAGGTACAACAATTTGATTAGGAGTAAGAACAGGTTACGTGAGGAGGTACTAAAGATTCAAACTTATTCCCTTGATGACTGCTCTATACTGCTGATGGCACATCACGCAGTGTCAGGTCGGGTGACCTGCAGCTGCCCTCTCCACCTTAGCAAATTTTGCACCCTTTATATTATTCACCCTGGAATTCTTGGATGTGCTTAGTCGAGCTACCACGTAGCAAGAATCATTGAAAATACGGTACCGCCAGAAAACTGCTGCGTGAACCTATCGAATTTACCTTCTGTTACAGCTCTTACCTTATAGATAGACCAAGGAGCTGGTCAACTTTTATCTCTGTTAATAGGTGGTTCACTGCTGAAATTAACCTCAAGGGACTAAACGAAACTGGTCGTTGTTTGGGGGTGATATCTTTCTGGTGACTATCCACATGACCACTTTCCCTTCTATGCAATTCAACCAAGAGTCTCACAAACCTTTGCTAAGGAATATTCTTCACGAACCTTTGTTCAGTCTGAAGGCATTTCACCAAATACCCATGTCCACAAAAGATCGATTTTGTAGAAACTGCACCGGTTGCTACAGAAACGAAATCCAGATATGTCATTTTATCTGCCCATCCTAAAAACTTTAACCCGTTGGACCTACATGTGTTGCTTGGCATACTGCTGTCTACCTCCACATCTTAGCCTTTTCATTTCATCATATCCTGCAGAATTTATCCCATACTCCAAGTGTTCTCTACTTGAATACTTCACGTGGTGTAAAAATTTTAAAAATAGATCCTCAACACTTTTGATTCAGAAGCTTTTTAATCACCCTCAATTGGAAGCTACGTATCTCGCGTACTTATTGCTGAGGTTCATAACTTATCTCGCAGATACGGTGTTGGGCTAGCTGGTTTTGACCCTTCTTCTCAATACCTTTTATTTCTGTTTCTCAACTTGCACGCAAACTGTACCAGTGATTCGGCTGTTCACCATATTTTCCTAAAAATTCCGCCAAAAATAGTTTCAATCCACGTCCTTTTCACCAATCTGGGGGATCCTGAATTGTCATAAAGCCTCATGACCCTTCTAGCAACAAATTAATCTGTCATAAGGTTAGTCGACAAGGGATCTCAGCTGAAACCCAACTCAAAACTGGACACTGGTTACTTGGCCCAGAGGCATGTTGATTCGGAATCTAGAGAACCTTGGAGGCATAGTAAAGCGTATGAACCCAAGTCTTTGGGGCTGTTGGGCCACTAAAACTGCGGAGATCATAAAGTGAGCCGATGTTTTTCGTTTCAGGTAGATCAGACCAATATAAAATCAAGTATTTGGTAGCTTTTCTGGTGATTTTAAGATTGTACACATCATGACGCCTTGATTGGTTATCAGCAATGAGACCTGAGCCTGGATAAGATCTTGGCATTTGACATTCTTAGGAGTTTTATAGAATTTGATCGAGTCTTCCTGTGTAGTCTTCATTCTTTATAAATGCAACCATTGTCACTTCAGGCAGGCAAATGTCTCAATCCATTTCCACTAAATGAAAAGGTAAAAACGTGAGGGTCTGCCTCTATTTTTGAGAATTTCCCATTAGTTTTCGTCATTTCTGAAGTCTGGTTAAAAAGAGCTACTCGAACTCATTATTCTGGTTGAAATATAAGCATTTATTTGAGTTCCCGAAAAAGTAATCGCGAAGTCGTATTTTTATTTACATATTTTGGTTTGAGCCAAGTTGCCCTCAAAAGGTGAGGGTTGGTCAGTCGTATGTATCAAACCAGAGGGCATGACCTTTTCATATGCACCTTGTTTCATAGCCTCAACTCATGGAGCTAAGAAGTATTTAAGTTAAAATTAAAAAATGCTTTTCGTGTGGGATGGCGAATTTTCGGTGAACTGACGGAAACCTTTAGGTTGAAGGGTTTACGGGTTCATCGCTATCGGAAACATCAACACCACCTGACACTGATGTTTTACTGTCTTACAACTACAAGGTTTATTTAATTATATTTGAAGCTTTCAAATGAAGAGAAGAGTGGGTGGGAGAGTAAACTAATGCTAAGCTACCACAAACATTCTGAGGTGTCTACAGTTCCAAACGCTCAGTAGAACAGCCTGGAAATGAACTGTTAGAACGAACGCCTTTTACGTCGATCAGCCGCCACGCCTGTTCAGCTCATGGGTACCCCATACTGGAAGGTGGATTGCACCAACAACAAAGTTGTTTTTAACCTCTTCAATACCCATCTGCCGAACAGCACTTTTTCCATTCTGTAGTTTGCGGTATTTGGATAAAGAGACGAAGAGCAACAACCGGCTTGTTAGATGCTGCCTCAGCATGTGAAGCGTACGGCCAAACCACTACAGCTGATGGTGCTGGATGTATTCTGTGAGTAAAGCGTCAAAAGCACAACTAGATATCCGTCTTTTAGCTATTTATGAATTCGTTAAAGCCATCCAATACAGGCTACACTTCTGGGGAATCGGTGATGAAAAATCTAATGGACCCTCTCATCGTCTTCCCACAGAAGCTATACACGGTTCTTGAGGCAAATTGATATCCCCTTTTGACTACACAAGTAAAACAATTCAGCAGTCTTGATTCGGGTCATTGGGAGTGGTGCACTTTCGATGGAACCAATTTGACTATCGATGGATGCAAAACATCCACAACTCCATAGAAGTAATCCAAACGTGTGAGTATGTATTTAAAAGGCCGTCAGATCGCTAGATCGCCAAGAAGGGTCGAATAAAAGCCCATGGAATTCGAATCCGCTGTTTGTGATTTGGGATGCGGACTGAATTAAACGAAAGACTAAAGTATGGCTTCTGAACAACCACATCTCCTGAATGGCTAACTTAAACTTGAAAGCTGCGATTCAGCGGATTTCTCTATCCCAAGTGGAATAGCCAATGTATCAGAGGTGAGTTTGACCCATGCACATTGCCAGAAGAATTCAGGCTTCAACCGAATCGGAAGAACCTCTAAACTAACGGAAATTTTGTGCCCTACTGTCCAAACTTCAAGCGTGTGCCACACTACCTGACTGGGACGCCCTGCCTGGTGGGTCAGTCGATCGTCACAACCAGGACATTTATTGGGTCGTCGTTCGATGAGTCGAGCACACCAATCACATCGCCCAATTGTGAACACGTTCACCTGTTCAAACGTGATAATTCAGATGCGTCCAACGTGCGTTGGTGGAGTAGTGGTTAGACGCTCGCCTCGCATGTCAGATGTCCGGGGTTCAAATCCCGGCACGGTCATTGGATATGCACTGCTGATGAGCTAAAGTAAGAGCAAAACTTAAGTCCAGTGCTTCCCTTTGGTGTGAATTCACCGGAATAATTGCGCCAGAACAGGAACACGGTCGTTCAAACGAGAGTGGTGTGGCTATGAACAAATGGAATGTCACAGAACACACCAGTGTATTATGCGACAAGTTCAGATTGGCAAATGCAGACCAATTCATGTCAGTTTTTTTGGGTTCTCTGGCAAACCAACTGCCTTTCCAAAACAATGACTTTCCGGGCTATTTTTTGTCGTTTTCCCTGGAAAAAATTAATTGGCAAGCAAAATACGACTTAGTTATCCTAAAAAATGAGCCTGGTCTTCTCCGGAGACCAAACAAACCGCCCCTGACAAAGATATACCAGAACTAAAAAGCAGAAGCAGGCCTCCATCGCTTCAGCTTAGTAGGACAACGGCTGACCATCCAGAGAATTTCGCCCAAACATCATCTCACACCACTCACGCATATTATATGATTCTGACTTGGCTTTGATTTTCTCATGAATAGCTACATCACTCAGACTCCTGTCATTTTAGGTGTTTTCTACCGGTGGCCATACGGTTCAAGGATGAGCTGGACCTAGTTGATTTATGCAACCCTAGCGAACATTGATAGGATGATGGAAGGATGACTAGAGACATGCTGAGAACAGAATGATGTAAAAATTTACGTTTACCTGCTGTTACTTTGTCAGAACATCGAAACGCATGGACGATCAGCATTACATCAGAGATTAATGGTTTTTCTAGAGGTCATTTCCCTTCGGATCACTGTGCTCAAGTGTAAACATTTTAAAAAGCACTAAAAGTGCTTTTAAGAGGAATTTTTATGACGGAATACTGTCATAAACTACAACCTAAGATACTGGCAAAACCTGTCGTAAGTTCTGCCGACTCGACCTTGAGTGTTCACCTCAAAATGACTGCATCACCACAGCATTTTTCTCTTATTCTCTCCACCTTATGGTTCTAAGCAAAAATAAAAAAGTACATGGCTGTACAGCGGTAAAATCCCAGTTTCAAACCTTCGTTTTACATCTATAATAATGATAACCATTATACCAATTAATATGACACAAGTGGAGCCACACACAATCAAACACGCATTCTACTGATCGGGCCTCGACGTCGTGTACAAATAACAGTTTGTCATGATTCTGTCTTCAGGAACGTATCGGACCGGAGAGCATGCTGATTGTTCTTGATGGCTATGACCTCTTGGCGGCCGATGTGTCAGGTAAACAGGCATGCGGTGGGTTAAAGCTTGACCGCACTGAAGTTGCGTGTGTCCAGACGAAGGTTAGTTTCATCGTCAAATTTTCAAGATTAGAAACCCTCAGTTTCTTCCGCGTTTAGTAAAAATAGGGTTGCCAATTCGGTTTTATTTTATCGCCACTGACAATTACTGGTACTTTCTCCTACATTTGGCTTTGTCAAAAACAATTTTGCCGAGAGTCTGATTATAGTAGATACCATCAGTTGAAGTTCCGCGTCTCTTTGCTATGAAACGGACTATTACTGTACGCAGATATTACATGCACTGTTTTGGCAAATATCTGAGGGTGTCGATCTGGTTTCCTAGATGAAAAAAAACGGAATAACTCTGAAATTAAGCGTATAAACAATACGGTAACTTTACTTCTTATTTTTCACTTCCCAACTGATGTATCTCAGTCAGAACCTTGCGCAAACAATATAAAATCACTAAGAACTGCGAAGCTGATTCGATAAGATTTTTGGACCACTTCATTTTGTCATATCGTCTGGAAAAATATTCTGATGATTGTTTCTGGTTCTTTTTGCCTCGAAATTTCTAAGAACCACCTTGATGCACTTTTATTGAGATTGTATGTCAAACTTTCCTCATTAGTGCTTTGGTGAAAGATGTTTACATCCTTGTAGTTTCGCTATACTAGTGTGCTCTACGGGCTCTCAAACGGGCAGAGATTAGGTCAACATTTTTGTCAAATCAATATGTTCGCTTGGCGCAACAGAAGCCGATGTTTGATGCTGCGAAGAACTCTTCCCCCTTTCGCATGAATACGCTATCGAGGAGCAATATGGTATTCCAAAATAATGACTTCTCTGCGATTTCTGCCTATCTAATAAACCAGTGAGTTTCGGATCAGCTGCTCCCCGGGAATTCTAGTCCGACCGAAAAGGCTTACAGTGACCTTATCCTTACGTCACAGTAACTCAGACCTGCGATAGAATGCGTGAGCTTTTGGTGGTTCTGCAGAAGCGGAGCTCCTTCATCACGTTGATCAAGTCGAGGTCACTATATCACACGAATGCGAAACACAGATTCCAAACTAGTGAAAACATCTAAAGCTGGCCCCTGAGGTCGAAGTTACTGTGACTATCTCGGCAATTGTTAAAACACTGGCCTTGACTGCCAGCCCATGGGTTCTGCGCATCCCATAGGCCGATCAAAGTGCTTCTTACACGGGGAACAAGTGAAAGGTATTAGGAAAGTTGACGATCAGATTTTTCGCTCGAGAGGGTAATACTTTTGTTGTGTGTACGATAAAGGAAGCCATAAGATGTACCATGATGCGTTACCTCAACATTAAGTGGGCTAGCTTTCTATTCAACGATAACGATTCTTCAATGTGTTGGGGACTTGGTCGCTTGACTACAGTTTACTTTAAATTCCAGTGATCCAGCTTAGTCGTCCAGATGCTTATATGATCTTGTCAAGGGAAACAAGTTGTTCTTGACCCATAAATAATTATAGTAGTCATTAGCTCAGTCGACAATGCTCAATTAACTTCAGACCGTTATTAATTACCGATAGAAGTTTTACAGCCTCTGTTGATGTCCGGATTTTTCTATCGGTAGTTCATCCTGTAAGTCTACCGAATCTCCGTTGAAGAGTTGAGAAGTGCTGCCAATATTTTATCCTTATTGAAAATAATCAGTAGTGTACACCTCACAAATCCCCAGGGAGATTCGAAATCGAAATCTCGTGGCTGGTAGTTGAAGTCCATACCATTTCATTAGAACCGACGAATCAGTGTTGTGGCTAGCTCGCACTTAGACAGGATTGATCGATTCACTTACATAATAAGACCTCGACCGAAAGATTCCCATATCTAAGCATCATACATTATTCGTAAAGTGGCTGGAAATTCTTCGACATCCCTCGACCGGCTTCGCCCACCAGGTTGGCGCAGTCCCCGAGTTCTACTTGAACCCAAATTGCACGGAATTAGCAAAGTAAACTCATTTGCCTACCAGTTTGGTTTTGATTGGAGACTCACTTGGAACCCAGCTGAATCTGTGGCTTATGGGGTTTTTAAGCAACTGAATGTGTCATACAAGGCTTTCACGGTTTTCATTTGGCACGATATTCGAGATATCGCGCACGCTTGTGAGAAGATCAACTAGCAGCATTTCAAGACGGTGTTGTGTATGCAACACCAAGCAATGAGTGATATTCATGTAAGGAATCGTGCTTTCGATACAGAAGAGAATACTTGCAACTCGGGCTGCTCAGTTGACATGCACGATGTATTTGTTTGTACTCTCGTCTTCAAACCGCCTTGATTGGTGACGAGGTTTGCAACAACAACGAAACCCGGTAAGAACGTTCAAACACAAGGGATACAACTTATACACTCATCTACATATTCGTTTGGGTTTGAAGGGAGATCCAGCTGTGTTCCAGGTAAGCCTCCCGTCAAAACTAAATTGATATGCAAATGAGTGTATTTAGCTAATTCCCATATCTCTCCATATTATCAACAGCCTTTAGATAGCTCGGAAGAAAAAAATAGTTGACACGTCCAGCATGTCATCTATTTGGCAAACTGTGACCCTAGGAGACAGTCAACATATGGCTACATAACTTGAATTCCCTGATTGAAGGATAAATGACCCAGAAGTGTTGTCTGCGAATTATTCATGCTATTACTTGTTCAACCTTGACTAGATGACACTATCTTCAACTAGTAGCCGAGAGTTCACGGATTCAAGTATTTCTGTTTGGGGTTCAGTCGAAAAACAATGAAGCCGGACGACTTTTTGCACACCACTTCCTGAAAATGCGGCAGTAGACTACATGCGTCCCAGTTTGCATACATTTGAGCTACTACACAGAATAAATGGCCCTCGACTGTAAGTCCTCCATAAGCCTGGTAATACCACGTGACTCTAATCTGTGCATTTTGCATTTACATCACTCTCGTTCTATTAAAGCTTATTGTGAACAGATTCTGCTGGAATATGAAAAGTAATGATTGTCCAGCCGTAACACCTTTTTGATGTCTGGCTGCCATACCACCCGAAAGAAGCACGACGGCCGAGCCGTTGCCGGTTGCCAAAGTTTGGACAGGAGCGGTCGAGATCGGTTAAAACCACGAGCCTTCACTTCAGTAGTTTGACGTCTTAATCAGTGAACTATCTCAAGTTCGAATCCACCTCCATCTAAACGCATAAGTTTGGCTGTGGACTGATTATTGATAAATTCTACTGTCGAAGTAGATACAGGAAGATTGTTCTGGTAATGCCGTCATTCATGTAAAATACCAAGATGTCCATGATTCAGGCTAGTTCAGTTCGGTTCGGGATTTTGGCATTACACTTTAGCCGAATCAAATGACCACAAAGCGAAAACTAATCCCTTCGTTATGAAGCTGCGTCTGACCGCAGGTTGCGACAATAAACTTCTGTGACAATAGTTTATCAGGGTAATAGTCCTTAATTCTCTACTGCAGGTTGTGGTCCGTGCAAAGTGTAGAATGACCATTCAAACGATATGGAGGAAAATGAATCGGTGGCTTACCACTAATGGCCGGTTGGTTTACTGACTATGAAGGAGTTTCACAGTACACGGCTCCCTCGAATAGTGCGATTTCACAAGAACCAGGCAGTGATGACCCTAACGACATCCTGTGTTCATTAACAGTTTTTATTCCCAAGAGAATATCCCATGCCAGACAACATTGAAAGAACAGTGGGGAACATAAAAAGATAAAAACATGGTCCAAAAACATTACTGACCCAAAAGAAACCCGAATATGGACAATCCTTTCCCATAAAGGGGGAATGGTGTACACCCTGGGGGCACTGTAATCGGGTATGAAACGGATTATGAAACGATGACAGCCCAAAATCGGCTCTGATGACAGTTTTACCAGGTCATACTGGAATGTGCTATTTATAAACCAGTTACAATGGGCTGCAGCCACTTTATCCTCAACAAGCTCCAAGTATAACTGAAATCTGTGCCACTCATGAGTCAAATTCACCAGCAAGGCTCACCAAACTGGCTTTCGTTCCAGTTTTTGGCACCGTAGATTAGACGGAGACCCAGATGTTCAGTGACAGCCCTACCGTTCAGGAACTGTTTTGCATAGGTTCTTCGATAAGAAAGCAGGATGTTGAGCATCATTTTTATTCGGTCTCTAGGAAGGACGTCAGCTTAATTGCTATCCTTTGCCTAGATTCTGACAGTATTAATTAAACACAGGGAGCTCTCCACCGTCTCAAGTTCAGAAGCTAGCAGTAAAGGGAAAGCAACGATTCTTCCATTCATGTACAAAACGTCCACATTGGACAGGTCGTTGGTACCACATGGCTGACAACTTCACCTAAGACCAGGAAATTTCCGTGCAATTCACATAGGATTCCTTCAAAAAGCCTTAAACATGACTGCTTCAAGAAGTTTCTAGAAGTACATGTGGTTTGAAGGACTTCCGTCGAACACTGAGCCCCGCTAACAACAAAATGCATAAACTCTTAGGATAAGAATGCCTCAAGACACCATTTTACACAGATTTTTAAACAGTCAATATCAACCATAAATAGTATGTTAAGAGGAATTTCAAATTCGTGGTTGATCTAGAATTACAAAAATAATATAACGTGTACAATGTGTACGATACCCTTATCAGACTTCTGAGATATATATTGGCCTACAAGATGATATATCGTTAGTGCTACGCTGTGCCCGGAGCTTTCGAATCAAAACGACTCTTCACAATGATTCTTCATTATCAGTCATAATCATAGTTGACAGCAACACCAGGTAAGAATATTGTTGCTTCACTGCCCTCAATCTACTTCAGTAAAAGCCTTATACCTGAAAAAATATAGAGATGGGGAAGGGACGGAAACATAGTGCTAATGCCTCAAAAGCATCTCAATTTCCTACACATCTAGCACTCAGTCGAACAATCTGTATAGAAAAGGACAGCATTAGCGATCGATTGGTTACCATATCGTTCGGTTTCTCTAGCCAAGTTCAGAAAACGTTATGTAGACTCCCTTCTAGGAGGCAAACAGCACCAACAGCATCAAAACTTTTCCTAGCCTCCATAATTCTTTTTTACAACGTGGAATTCTGGATGCATCCTATGAGGGAATTATCCTCCGTTTCACCAAAAACCGGTCCTAAGATCACCTTATTGCGAATTCGCTGGCTCCAACTGATTCTAGCTGCAACGCTGAGACATCGATGCCTCACATCCTCCAATCGAAGTGGCCAACCCTCGCAGTCAACAATACAGCTTGCACAGTAACCTGACACAAGCACCCTCTGAGATCTAGTTAAATGCTTTTCTAACATCACTATTGGCGCAAATCGGTAAACGCGTTTCGAGTCCTCAAGTTTCACACGTTGACTTCGTTAGTCACACTACCACTAGAGTTTATGCAGCTTCCACGAGACCCATAAGGTGACTTATATGACCAGAAACAAAACCGCAGTAGATCTGCAGAAGATAGGACACTCTAAGCCATAAGACTTTTTGACCCCTTCTTCGGAAATGGGGATTTAACACCAAAGTATGGCCGGTTAGGGACGTTGTTTTGACCTTCCATCGAAATGATTCCTTTACAGAAAGACCTCTCTTGGTATGCCTAATGTGCTACAAGTCTTGCTGAACAAAGTTGCAATTTGTCATTCCAGTGCTCGGAATGCAACAAAGGGAATCCGAAACCCGTGGGGTGGGGTACAGAATTTAAAACGGAACACGGGTATTTCACCAAAGCGGATTTTCGGTTGTTACCGCCAATTCACTACGCCCTCTCAGAACCTCAGCTTCAGTGGCTAAATCTGCAACTTCAAGAGGCCACAAGAAGAACGGACAACGTTGTCATTGCATGTGAGTCATCCCGGTTACAACTAGGCAATCCCATTGATTACCGATTACAATAACTTCATGCAATTAGTCCCTATTAGTCCCTATTCAGAAAATTCCGGACCACTGAAAAATTGTGAATATTCATATCTGCTGATCAACTTCAGATTGCATACTTCATACTTGTGTGTACGTCTTTTCACTGAAAAATCGTTGGAGTTGGCACCTCCTACACTTATCATATTGTCAGTTGGCGTCCACTTTACGTTAAACTGAGAGTCAGTATGTAGATGAACCGCCGCAATAAATGGTTGGAGGCGCCAAATGCTGATAGCGATCTTCATAAAAAAAGGTATTTGTACCACTCGAGACTAGTTTAAGACGGCAACGCGGACATTTGTCTATCTGATGGTCCTGCGGTGTTGGTCGTTTGAAACAGTTTATGTGAAGTCAGGTGTACTCTGTGATCGCTCGCCCCGAAGTGTTGATAAAATGTAAAAAAAAACCCTCATCAGTCTGCAGGCACGAGCGCGAGCCGAAAGAAGCAGCACGAATATGACTCAACTTTTACATTCAACTAGAAACTAACATGCAGAAAGTGAATGAAGCGTTTGCCATTGAAAGCTCAACTTTCTTGCCTTACCGGTTCATCGAACAGGTCGACCCAAAATTACTGGTTATGCAATATTGCACGCCTNTCTGTGGTTCAGCTTGTTTTCTGAGTTTATCATATTTGCCGCAAACATTTCCTCATGAAGGTTAGTTGAAATTGGTGCAGCGATGATATCACCCTGACTGCTCACGAATCACTTTCAGTAGGTTTGCTGAAGTCACCAAACATTTCGACCCCAAGACCTGTATAATGTTGTAGAAAATAGATGAGGTAACGTGCCAGTCCAGCAGTCTGATGCTAACAGATGAAAAGACAAGCCACACAGACTCCAAGAACCGTTACATTATGCATAATGAGGTAATGTTGTATGCGAACCACCCATGTCAGCCAAAACCGGAGTCGGTGCACCAGAAACATCAGTCAACAGAGGAAGCATGGACAAAGCAAGTAGGGAAGAAGACATCCAGCATTCACGTTCCATGCTGCTTGCTCGATATTATTCATGTTAACATACGCTAGACAGTTGTAATAGTGTTCCCGGAAAATGAGCTTACAAAATTTACGGCCTCTCCAGAATACTTAGAAGTCGAAACTATTACACAGTAGTGCCAGTGAAGCAGTATGAGCTGAGTTTAAAGCAGATATAACGTTCGTTTTTTTGTGGAAAGGAGTATTGGAGGAAAGAAGAGTTACATCAAGCAAAGGTTGTGAATTTAGCACAGTCGCGACATCAACCAAGTTACATGAGGACGGAGAGCACCTGACACATATTCCTAGAATAGAGGTAGACAGACGCTACTGACACTATCCCGACAGATCACTGTCGTCTAACTAACTTGAAGACCTACAAAGTAAAGCAACGAGAATTATATCTGCTGTTTTCATTACAAAAGATTTGTTGGTAAATTCGACCTAGGGCTTTCTATCAACTTTACCTAGCTGACCGTCACTTTCGATAAAAGACGTAATTACATTATAAGGGCAGTGAACTTTCGTTGTAAACGATACTTGCTAAACATAGAAATAGATGTCATGGCGACTTATTAGCATACAAACACATTCTACATCTTTCACTCTCCGTTTACTTCGTTACCTAGATTATGGTGCCGTAAGAACCTAGATAAAGACTAAATACGAGAACGGATGGTTTTTCTAACTTCTTCATGTCTGTCTCCACTGGCCTCAAGGTTTTTCTGACATCCGTGAAAATGAAGCAGAAATTTACCGAAGATTTTTTTGTTAAGTGAATCATGACTATCGGCAACCGAGACTGTCATTACAAGCGTGTTTACCATCGTATATGCTAAAACGCTCCAGCAAACCGTTCATGCCACTGCTGTTTCCAGGTTTTATTGCTGTATGTTGTGGCTGGATTAATTGCAGCGTGGTATTAAGATGTCACGTTTTACCGCCACTGTGGTGTTACTTGCTTGACTTCCTGGTCACTGTAAGCACGTTTTAGCATGCCTCGTTGTCTTTTGAACCAAAGAGAACCCAGTGTTTTCTCACAAAATGGGAATATGTACTATTATGAGGTTTGGATCTTAGGAACAGGCCTCGACAAACCGTGCTTTTTGTCGTGTTCTGATCTAAACTGGCCGAACAATAAATGCTTTATCCTAGTGCAGAGCGACGTTTTTGCCTCACGACTCATATAAGCCCATGTACATTTGGACCCATCTGCTCAAGAACTGCACTTATTCTCGAAAGTATGACCTTCAGATTCCGTAAGCTCGTCATTACTCGTGGATATACTAGCTGCCCTGTGTTATATCGCATATTATTAAGATGACGTTACCGTGGGCAGTAAATCAACTCCTCACACTGCCTGCAGGAACAAGAGGACAACACTCTCGCATGAGGAGCGATCTATCTGGTACCCGATTCGTTTTGCCCAAAAAACAAGGCCTCGACTTTTGGAGAAGCATTATAGGGGGGTTTTGTGAATCAGATATGTTGGAAACTGACCTATGGTGGAAATTACGGCTAATAATTCAGCTTCTTGAGGTGTTACAGTCACAATGACAAGAAGACGGACAATGTTCACTATCAAGCTGGCATCCCACCATCCTCTTCAGTGATGGTACTTGAGCTTTTTAAAGCTCATCCATGCAACAATCGGATCTTGGTTCCCGCTACACAGTTTACCTTTCCTTAGCTGACTGAGCAATCATTGAGTGGAAGGTAAGGGTCTGAGCATTTCTATAATCTCTATCACAACCATGCACTGGACAGACATTTCGCTACAGCAGTCACTGTAGTGGGTCCGATTCCTTGAGTAGTAACACGGAACTTTAAAGCCACCTTCCTAGATTTTATCAGTAACCCCTGCTGGAGACTATGCTACAGCATCGCTATCTTTGTACACAGTATAACCGTCGGATTCGGTTGGTGCGCTGTCAGTGGAGACATATTCGCATCAGGTGACTGGATATTTATAGCATAGAAATGAACAGCGCTGCAACAATAATCCAACAGCCATTTCGTCCTGAATGGGATTTGTTAATCGAGTAAACAACTGAGGTGAAGATTCGGTTAGAAACCTCATACGTCTAGTTGGAGTGTGTGCTCTGACTTTTTGTTACTGAGTATAGATACTTTGGATGACATCCCATTCTCAGTGTCAAAGAATGGAGGCCAAGTCCCCGTTAGCGTTTTTTGTGCTATTTTCCTCCATTCGGCACAAATAGACCACCCAAACAACTAGCAGAAATCGGTAATAGCGACCTTTCTCAAAAGGAGACCCATGGTGAATGCGATAGCCACAGGAATCAGCTTGACTTTATTTGTAACAATACTCTTGGAGTTGCTTGTCCTTCGTCACCTTATGCTGGCCCGTGAAGCACTGATTCGAGCGTAGCGAGTGGGGTTGCGTTGACCACATCTTTGCGTAGTCTTTTAGTCACAAGCGTAATATATCGACTGACCGCTTGTACATTTTGGAAAACTGGTTGTACTTCCCTACCCATTCCTCCTGTCGGTATGGTGACAGTATTACAATGAAAAGACTCTCGGAGGTTCCCAGATAACACGCTCTACATCACTAATATTTCGTTGACAAAGCAGTTCGTTTTTTCAGTAAGTCCATCCAGTACACTTAGTTGGCTTGAAAAATAAGTTACGCTTCGCTCTAGTGATAACCATTTTTCCTTCTGGAATAGTATAAAGATAATCATTGCAACCGAAGTACGCAATAGTTTTACAGAGATCTACATTTTGGTACACACCAATGTCGAAGGACGCTGAAGTATACTCTCGTTCGAAAGAACATTGCGTTAGACTGAACTATTTATTCAGACTTGTTGTAATGATTATTCCTAACCACCATTGTTTTCCTTTTCCTCATATCCAAAGGCCACGCTCCATTACACCCACTTTTGGTGACTGGCCGTTCCGCGCTGCCACTCAATTGGAAGGAAGTTCTGCGCTTGATCATGAGTTTCAATTGTGTTCGATTGGTGATAAGTGGAAGACCGGCTAATGACGCGGCACAACCCCCCACGCCTGAAAAGCCATATCAACTTGATCACGGGATTCTATATTACAGTATTCCACCGGCAAGCGACTCTACGATCGATAAAACCTGCCCACCACACATGATTGTTGAGCTAGGATACGATTTCATTAGGATCAAAGGCGAAGGTATTCATCTTCCTGCCGAATGTAAAAAGTCTGAATGGACCATTCCTTTCGAACCTAGAAGAAAACTTCGTATGAATCATTTCGACTATGCATTCAATGGTGGGTACGACTACTGAGAAGAATACTGCAGTAGTTCCAAGTGTTGCACAATGATCGAAAGCCCACTGTGCTCAAAAAATGGACTGGAGTCAAGTTCAAACGAGATCACTTTCTTGAAACGAACGGTCCTATCCAAGGCAAACAGGTGGGACAAAATTTATTTTATCCAGCTAATTGGAACCTCTGCCACTGACATTTTTTCCGCTATTTCGTTGAGTTTATTTATCCCACCTAAACAGGTAACCACACCAAGGCGAATTGCTTTAGAACTGTCTTGCCTTATGAGACCCAACTAAGTTGAGCACTCCTGGTCTGTCTCTCAAGATGATCTCTTTAGAGAGGTACCGGGTTTGATGAATCCAAGAGGGGTTAGTAGATGGTCACAATCTTGAATGGTCACAATCAATTAAATGAAGCGAATGCTAAAGAGGGCATCATCTCAATGGAAATACTTGATCTACTTGAACCAGCGAACCTTTATAGACTGGGTCCAGCTAGGTCTGGGACGTGACTTGCAACGCAAGCTTTATGCTACTTGTCTTAACAGTATTGATTTGGTTGATACGAATTGTTGAATACCCGCTGAATCGTAGCATGAGCGAATAACAGCGGCAAAAACCTGTAACTAAACACCTCAGTTTGGTTCACCTAATCGGCTACCAGTCGTGTGTCAAGGACAGGATGTTTCCAGGGTCACCCAAATGGTACCTTTGCGATCCGCGGTATTTTCCACAGCTGGATGGGTAGTTCCAGCAGTAACAAGTCATCATGACGAAAATGAATCGGCTGACAGTACTTATGAGGTGAGTACTTATTGATGCCAGTTCAAACAATCGAAATGCCTACAGTTTGTCCAACACAAATCAATTTTCTCTTGCCAACTGACTGCGAAATGATGCAGCAGAATAATGGGGTAATATGGATCAGTGGTTAGAGCGCGAATTTACCGACCAGAAGGTCCGTGGTTCGAATCCGACCTCCACCTTTCGACTTCTGCTGTCTAGACTGGACAACCTGGGCACTATCCCAGCCCTTGTGCTTCCTTCGGATGGCAAGCAGTTAGGCACCGAAAAAGTGTTACAGCTCAACGATTGCATGAGAGTTAGTGCTTGAGAAAGTTCAACTGTCTGTTGGTAATGTTGATTCTGAAACTAGAGTGGAATTCTATGCGTTCCAAGAGTTAAACCCAAACACACGATGGGCTCCTAAATGTCACTTCAACCGACTCACATGACCAACGAACGTCCTTACAGGTAAGAAACAGTGAAGCTACCAAAGCATTGAGGAAAAGCAAGCTGATGGGACCAGGCGCTAACCACTAATCAGATATGCAGAGGCTCGAATTTTGCTTAAGCTGTTTGACTCAGCCCAGTTTTCCATTCCAAAGGCGCGTATGACTACTTTATGGCAGCCTTGTGAAAACTTCCTCAATCATTCGGAGCATAGAAAATAGGAGAGCACCCCTCAGTGAGTACAACGGATACTACACTCAGTAAACAATCCAAAAATCTCTTACAGAAATAATAATACCGGTTAAACAAGAATTTCTGTTAAATGGAACTGGAGAGCAGTACTTTATCCCAGCAAACATTATTGTTACAAATTATTTCAAACAGCTGCGTGGTACGGACAGTATATCCGAAGATTTGATGGCGTGATAGTAAATTAATTCATACTGATTAACTCAATTATGAGAAGCCAAGAAGAGCGCAACAGATATTTATATTGTGTGAATATACAGTTTAGTCGGGGTACAAAAGTGACAGGACATGTGGATCCGCGTTGGCTGTCAGAGAAGCCGATTCAAGCAAACGAGCACCAACATCCTTCTTATGTACAGAGACTAAGTAGTTTGTCCGATAATTAAACTTTTTATCTGCATGACTCCCATTGGTGCATGCAACGAGTGTAGAGCAGTCTATATTGGCAACAAAACGTTTGCAGCAGTATGCAGTCACTCAGCTGCAACACCATTTCGGTGCATAACTGAAATCCCACTCGAAGGAAGCATGAGGGCTGGAACGCTGTCAGGCGGTTCACAATTTTATTCGAATCCGCTGATGACCGAGAATTTCAAAAAGGACTGCATGGAACTGCAACACAATTGAGTAGTAGAAGCGATGTGTGAGAACAATATCAGGCATTATGCGTTGATCGGTATAACACCTGTAACCTTTCCGAACACTTCAACCGTGGCTATGCAATTTCGGAACCAGATGGAAGTCGTCAGGAAGCTGATTATAATATTGCTTATTAGATAAAAAAGTGAGCGGAATTGAGTAACTGATAGCACCTGTCTTCACTCTTTAACCATGACAAAAATACTGATACAAAGGCCCTGAATTTCACATGTTTCTGCTGCATCACGTTGGTGACGTAGTCTCTTGCAATGCACTCATCTAGAATTATATCAGTGTATATTCGTAATGCACTACTCGTTACAGACGAGAGATTCAGCTGGGTTCCAGGTGAATCTCTCGCAAAACTCAATTTGTTTGCAAATGAGTGTATTTCGCTTATATCAAAATGTATTTTCTTAGAGTAATGCAAGCTCATTAGGATAGCTGAAAATGCTTTGACGAAGTGTTTTCACGTGTTATGTCAAGCGAATTCAGAACTTCACAAACGGGGGTCACCTGTATTCCGGTTTTCAGCAACCTAATGAGTAATATTATATTATTTCATTTTCAAATGACATCGTGTGTGAACATGTTGAAGTTTCCAAGTAAAATTTGAAATTAATACTGCTGTCACTGTTCCTGAATCGGGAAAACCGTTGCAAAAGCCAGTCTTAAAGCTGTAAGTTTCAGAGAAAATGTTTATTAATACGGTTTCGAATATCATGCTGTTTACCAAAAGATGTTCATACTTGCAATCGCTCATACAGTTTCCATGCCACTCAGAAAGTAGTTGACTCTGTAGGGCGATGGCGGCTACATTTAACAACATGCCTAGGCAAGAAACTCTGCCCACCGAAGAGTAAATCATCGTATATCAATCGGATCATCAGGTCACACCATTTAAGGAATTGCGAACCTAGGTGGTATCATTGCAACATAATCAAGCCATTAATAGGACAGTGCATAGTGGTTCCGTAAGTTGTAATGACTTTTACCATTGTTATTGCAAATTCCAACCAAGGCTCAATTCATTCGTATCTTGAAAGTACCACATTGTCTATGGAACTGTGCATCATGCTCAGCAATTACCACGAGATGAACCTGAAATATGGCCATAAACTATCACCATGTAAAAAGATCTGGGAATATCATATGGAGACTTCGTCCAGTAGAGGGAGCCAATCTATGTTGAAACTCCGGAGCGTCTCGAAACTTCGACCTCCCACTTAGTAGTCGAACACTTAATCGTACGGCCTTGAGTGGCTGATCAGCGATGTGATCAAGTCCCACTCAGAAAGGATAAAAGGCTAATCAGCATTCAAACACGCAATCCAAATCGTGTCCAGTTGTTGACTGGCTCCAGGATGGAAAGTTTGCCCTTTCTATCGCGCAAATCCGAACTACCTTGGGCCCTGCCATGCCATTGACTAGAGTGAAGTAGTAGTCATGGAGTGAGGACACTGCAGGCTGGCCCTAATAAATTAAATCAAATGGTTCGAAAGTAACACCGTTTTGGTTGAAAGCTTCCATACGACTTTAAGGGAGCACGAGCGACGCGACAACACATCACCAAAGCCTACGATGGAGGATTTGAAAAGCCTGGGGTTCAGACAACGCATCTCCTGGTCAGCAGCTCGTGTCTTTACCACCAAGCAATATCAAGCTTAAATCCACTGTGACTAACATGGAGCAGTTGCAAAACAGGGCCGCTGATCAAGGCCCGGGATGTTCTTGGGGTTAACTGCTGTCTAGGTTATCTTACTGTACGTTTGGTTGTGTAGATAGCACACCACATAAGTAGTATGCTAGCGTTAAGTCAATTTCGGCCCGCACCTATGGACAATCCTTGGTAGTAACTAGGACCCTAAAGGTGATATCCGTCAGATACGCCACTCCCTAAAGGACAACGCCAGCTACGTCCAGTGATTCGTTAGGATACCGTACTGGTTATTTTGGTTGTTGGACTGCATCTCCAGTGTATTCGTATGCTTATGCTTGACTGAGACCAATCCGGTGAATATAATGAGCTGGAAGGTGATTGAAATGATGAAGTACAACATATACCATTCAACGGAGGCCTGCCTAAAAGATTGAGTAGCTCACGATTAGTCCGACGTGCGTGTTCTATAACAAGCGCAAGTATTCCGTTGGTCCGTCGTCACGCCACTTTCGGTTGTATATTAGCTATGTAGATGTCACAAGTGAGAGATACCCACCATATGCGCTACAGAATACCCCCCCCCCGAGGGGGAAGGTTCTTCCCGTGATTCTCCTTAAAAATTAACAGCTGTTATCCCGTGGACCAAGCACCCCCCCCCCCCCCGAGGGAAAAGGTGCTTCGCGTGATTCTCCTTAAAAATTAACAGCTGTTATCCCGTGGACCAAGTAAGGCCAATTTAAGTAGAAATAAATGCAAAATATCTTGAGCTGGTTAGAGGCCGGTAGGATCTTACTTTAATGAAACTGGGTTGTCTGAAAGTGCGAGAATTATAATGTGAAAGTTCGGACTTAGTTAAAACCCAGGGTGGTCAAACGGCGCCAGTCGTACCTCTCAGTCTATTGCGAAATTAACGAAAACAATTGGAATTTACGGTGTATCATTCTTAGTCCTCAACAAGACAGTAATGAACGCTATTGTTTTAGGGCTTTCATCGTCTGATTCTCTTACCCAAACGCCTGAGCAGATTTTGGGAATCGAGCAAAAAATTCCCTTCGCATCCTAAATGGCCTAGTAACACGTAACCTCTGCTGATGAAGTGCTTTTCACTGTTTTCCGCACTAAGTTTCCACTGATGCGAAAGAATGAAAGCGGATAACTGGTGTTGCAGCCCGGATGAAGGTCAGGGAGTTGTTCATCTGAGGTGAGAGGACAAACAATGACTCCATAGCAATAACGGCAGGAACGTCGATTAGTCTTAGCGGACTGAGCGAACGAAGGTGACTTCAAACTCGTGGTCACCCTGGTGGTGCTGTTCAATTGCCCCCGATGGATTATATGGAGCTTTACAAGTTGCGCTTGGCTGTACCGGCTCATTTCACTGCAGTCTGACAACCGTGTACGCACGTACGGTGACTCAGGTCGTCACACCATAGGGTAGCGGACTGTACAAGATAGACGGAGTGCAGAAAAACGAAAAAGCAGCGAGTTACTAATCACGCGCAACACAGCAGTACAACAGCTGTCACTGGTTGACTGAGAATGCAATATTGCTGAGTACCTCTAACCACTGACATGGTAAGCCCCCAATACCCCAAACTTTCAGACGACGTCCCCAAATGTAACCAAGATCCTGTCATGTTTCCCACGTATCGTCCCCAGGTCAGGAGTTGCACACTCCGTAGTTTCTCCAGTCGTACCCTACCTCAGCTAACATGGCACGACGACGCACTCGACCACATATGACCGAAGTTGGTGCGACAGAACGTGGCTGGTTTGTTGCTCAAAACCATTCGCTGTACTTCAATACTGCCTATTCGGCGTTCCCGTAATACCTGTGCACTGTTTCAATGACACCACTGGTCAGGAACAAGATTTTTATCTTCAGTGTAAAGCAGCCACGCTTCGTTGCAGTAAAGCAAAACTAGACTAACTGTTGAAACGTAAACCCTGTCTTCAAATATTTCGCATCCGGCTCAGGCATGCGCAAATCAAAAGTATAACAGACCTTCGAAACGCTGGCATCAAGTTCGTCGGAAACACCGACAGCCAACGTGATACAACCACTCAGATAAATATATTCCCAATATTTCCATTGGTTTTGATGACAGAAGCAGCTCTCATGGTGCACTCATCGAATTTTGTGATAACACTTCGGACTTCGATGATGTAACTCGATTGTGCCCTAATCCGGTGAAGATTGGTGTCAGCGATGATTGATCTTATGAAGCAGAGACTAGCAGCTTGGCGGTTACGAGCATATCGTCCTTGGCGCTCACTTAAAGTTGCGCCCTACAATTGGTCGCCAACTAATAACGTCACGGCGATTCAATATGTTCTCTTTTGAAGAAGCGAACAAGTTCTACACTCAATCGGGGCTAAAAGCTGGAAACCTCCGCAGACAATTATTGAGCGAAGCTAACGGCTGTCATAAAGCCGGCTACGACTCCCCTGGGTACGGCATTTCTATGTTTGAAGGACCGGATCTTCATAACTCTTGGTCTCTATCAGGGATACCCGTCCAAACGGTTCACATGATACCTAAGCCTAAAAAGGCAAACCTTACGATCCACAGGAGCTAATTGCGATACTCTTCGGGGAAGAGCTGCTTTGGGACACGATTTCGATGTCAGCAGAGTATAAGTACGTAGTAACAGTCGTAGTCCCATTGTAAACCGCCTACGTTTCTCCAGTGGGCTGGTATTTGAGCAATCTGACAGAAGGTGCTGCTAACAGAATGATGCTGCCGCAAACAAACGTAAACGACCTTCGTGGTCAATCAGTGCACAGCTTTGTGCATGCGGCCCTCCTACTCAAGCCGACCACTTGTTAGGCGAAAGACTAGCCAAGCCTTTCAGCACTAACGGAACGTGTCACTGCCTGCTACTGTTAAGGCCAATTCAGACTGGCTACCTGGGGGCCGATTAGGCATTACCCCGCCTGAAGGCCAGAAGTTTCCTGTTGATCTCCATTTCTGGATGAAGTCATAATTGACCGTAAGTTTCAAACGCCTATGGTCCGTAGTGTCATCTATGCAGCAGTGAAGTATGCAGGGCTTTCACTGATCACGAAGATAAGAGGGATAGCTAGAGAACACTATGCATGCAACTCTGGTGGGCACGCGAATCAAACAAACAAGGTGTCATTGAAGCCTCCGTCAACGATCCTTGGCTAAGGGTTATCTAAACGTATTACACAACTGCAACGACAATGCTTACAAACATTTATCACATGTAAGTTCAGACTCATGTGGAACATTGCTCCTTAGTTGGGTAATATAACAATGTACCTGTCGTCATGAACAAGCTGTCAACCTTGGTCCCATCAAACTATGCGCCCAACCTTTTTTTGGGCTGCGTTTGGACAAGTGGACAAGCCTCCCCCCCCCCAAAAAAAAAAGCTAGAAATTCACTGCGGTTTCCTGTTTAAATTGTACGTTGAGATTATAATCGACATTTCAAATCGTAATACGATTTCATCAACAACAGATCAACTAATTTTTCAGGCTCCGTCTTTAAGAGAGGTCTGGACTGGTTTGGTTACCAAGTTACCAAGTTAAGAACTTCTTATCGTCTTCTGGTTGACAGGATTAGGGACTATGTGTGCAAAAACAAAATGTAACACAGGTCAAACTGACATGGAGTTACAAACCAGAATCGGTGAGTACAAGCTGTTCATAAAAAGCTCACCAAGAAACGCATGAGTATCAGGCGATAATTAAAAGCTTGTCGATTACAGGGTATGACCAAGACACTGAACATGGAACAGATATAGAAAGTGTGGGAGCACTGAAACGAGGGATAAGATTCACACCATAGCGACTGGTAGCCGAAACGATGGAAATTACCGAGAATTCTACCGTGAACAGAATACGGAGCACAGAACTAGCTGACGTTCGGAATTATTTTAGATAAACTGGTTCGATACGCAACAGCATACGGTCATCAGGGTTTAAACCATAAGACCCCGACAGAGCAATATTCACCAAATCCCCCAACCTAACTTCCATGCCAGCAGGAGGCACAAGGGCTGGGATACTGTCAGATGGCGAGATGGCCCAGTGGTGTGTGCGCGAATTTACTGATCGGAAGGTTCGTGGATCGAACCCGACCTCTACCTCTCGAGTTCTCCTGTCTAGGCTTGGGCAACCTGGCAGTATCCCAGCCCTCTTGCTTCCTTCGGGTGACGTGGAAGCTAGGCACTGTAAGGGTGGTAGAGCTGAACGATTACCTTCATCTTCCCAACCCCAGTAGTCAATCAATCCAACTTATCAGCTATAAACCGTGTACCATAGGCATATCGGTTTCAGCTGCTACAGTTTCTATCACCGGAAAACGAGAAAGCGGAATACGAAACCAAGCCTTGGACACGAAGGCATGCTCAATTTGTTCGGAAATTGGGTAGCTACGCATTGAAGGCGATAGCTTTGATAAAGGAGCGCCACTGACTGCGCGATTGGGCTATGTCCGCCAATGTCAATAATCAATCGTGATTTAAGTCCCAGGGTGGCGCAGTTGCCCAACCGACTCAGTTCACTGGTTAGTGTTTTCGTACTTCGTTGCCAGGTCATACATTGTCCACCTCTCGGTCGCTTCCACACAGCACAGGGCTGGGCGAAAAGAGCCCTGCGAGGCAGACGATCTTCTGGCATGCGGAGTACATGACCCAACTAGCGCAACCTATGAAGCGTGAGTAATTCATCTATCGCGGGAGAGTTCCTTCTTCCTAAGACCATTTGTCTTACCTTAGGATTGCTAACCCTATGTTCTCACCAGACCTGACCAATGCTGCGGAGACACCGGTGATCAAACACTGACATCTTCCGTATGTCTTTTGCGCATAGGAGCCAAGTCTCTGATCCACAAAGCAGTATGGATCACACGCAATGTACGCTCCTCCCTTGACCGACAAACTCCCGTCACGTCGGCGCCATAAGTGTCGGAGGTTGGCAAAAGCTACCCTGGTTTTTCCGATTCGAGAAATATTCGTATATCCAACCAGTCCACCACAACTCATACAGCTGTCCAGGTAAACAAATTTATTTACCACGTCGATTGGCTCACCTGCAAGCATGAGGTGTGGGTTTGATCCCACCCAATCTTGTAGCAGCACTTTACACTTTGCAGATGTGAAGCGCATGCCAAACCGTGCGACAGAGTAATTTAGGTTACTTAAAATCGTTTGCATTTGGAAAAAATCTGAACCAAGGAGAGCAATATCATCTACATACTCAATGTTTGACAGGGAACGTCCCGGAAGCATTTCAACTCCCGAGGTTTCAGAGACAGGCAGAGAAATTTCAAGCAGCATATCAAAGTTGAAAAGGAAAGGGGAGAGGACACCTTTGATACCCTTTCGGCGCCTAGTTACAATGCTATTTGGAGGAAGCAACAAAGCTGAGATAATACCAGGGTGCCCAAGCCTAGAGAGAAGTTGAGATGCAGAGGTCGGGTTCAAACCACAGGCCTTCCGATCAGTAAATTCGTGCTCTAACCACTGGGTCATCCAGCCCACTGGCGCAAACTGCAAGGTGGCTTGGAAGAATGTTAAAGAAATCATCAAGAGTTTGAATGCTACTGATGCAGTCCACCTCCGAGTTTGGGGTATCTGTGATTCCAGCGTGTTAGTTGGAAAAATTGCAAGAGACGGCGACTGATCGATTCAGCAGGCTTTCTGATTAGCGTCTGTGGGTGTACACACATCGGGATTCTTCTGGCAGGCTGATATCAGGCCCCTCGCTCATACGCTCCTCTTTCCCTACTTTGTTACTGAGGAATATATGTCAACAATGATGTCGTTTCCTCTGTTGATGACGAATTCCAATGTGTATAGACTGTACGTCCTAAAAAACGCCTATACACCTTGCAGGCGCAATGCGTTTGGCGAAACGGGTTGCGGTGTTTGCCAGTTTATTCACCAGTGCTTGTGTTCGGCCTGATTCCTCAAAGATGACATTGTCTGCGACGAGGTTCTTACTAGGAACGATGTAGACACCGGGGTTGTGAATATCTTCCAAAGTTCGCCTCATCTTTTCATCGATAACGAAGTTGAACAAAAATGGAGACAGTAGACACCTTTGCAGGGCATCACCTATTGTAGGAAAGCACATACAGGGCTCGCCTTACACACTCACACACATCTGCGGCATCCGCTGTCTAGGTTTGCATAACTTGGAAGAATCTCAGCCCTCGTACCTACTTCGAATTGCATGGCAGCTATACACCGAAGGGTTGTTTCCACTGGGAAAGTATAGTTAGAAGCACTGACAGATCGACAAAATCGAAAACAAAAGACACCAAAATTCAGTCGTCCGTACATGTGGCGTTGTTGTAACAGCTAACCGAGTATGGTGTGGTCGATTCAGCATCAAACCGGCAAAAATCCCACTTGCTACTCACGGGTTAAGATTTCGCGCGCCGCCGAAATAAGACGAAGAGCTACTGGCGCCAGTCTTTTCACACCGGGAGTCAGATTGGCGATGGGTATGGTGCACCTGCCAGTGTGTTGACAAAAACCATTAAAAAGGTCAGACTCCGGACGGCGACTGTTACGAGCCCCTCCGTGAGTACCTGGCACACCGACTTACTGTCTCCTGAAATCAACCTCCGATGGACCAAGTGGTTAGAGCACGAATCCACTGAGCGGAAGGTCCGTGGTTCGAAACCGACCTCGACTTCCCCTGTCTAGGCTTAGGCGACCTGGCAGTATCCTAACCCTCATGAGGCATGACAGCCAGGCACCGGAAGGGTGCTACGGCTGAACGATTTTTTCACACCATACTCCACGAGTAACTATTTGAACAAGCAGCGCCAACACCCCGTTGTAGCGGATGAACTAATTCCCAAGCATGTAGGCAATTGTCTGCGCCACATCGTGAGGGCAGACTTGAGGGTCACGGCGGTGCGACATGCTGACCTGCAGCCGATTAATAAACGGTAGTTTGACGCACTCAGGCATCGCATTAAGGAGGAACATGTTATTTTCCTAACCCGTAAGGGAAGCGACTACTTACACATCGAGGTGCGACGAAGGAGCTGCCAATAAGGATAAACTTTCCTTGAACGTCTGCGTGTACACATGCTATCCAACCAATTGTGAAGCGCCACAAACTCATCTGATTACGTCGGTGAGACCCCTCACAACCTTTTCAGACCCAGCTTTCTCAGTACTGTATGGAAGACCATCGTTTTCGGAATACCGGCCTCAGAATTTGAACAAGAAAGGCCGTTACAGAAATGCACGCAACTTACGTCATGATATCAAAACCCACAAGCCGGTTAGCGAGCGACCCTGTTTGGCACTGAGTAACCGCCACAAGCGGCTCGTGACAATTCCAAAGTGCCAAGAAGAGTGCGCACGCGACAGCCTAACGCAAACACATTGGGCAGGGGACCTGGTTGCATCGCGCCCGAGCCAGCCATTCGGCAACCCGTCGGCGATTGATCCATTTAAACAATGAACTTTACAAGTTCATAAAGTAGAGCGGAATAAATCAGGGCATTTTCACAAAACAAATGGTCCAGCAGTGTAGAGCGAACATTTTATTGAACATAGTAACGAGGAAAATCAACGCGCCGCGATAAAGGGGTGAATAGGGGATTCTGGGTGCTAACACGTATTCACGGATTGATGCACGAGATCGAGGTTTCGCCTAAGTTTCCCGGATCGGTTTTGTTCTTTTCGTTTAGCGGCTGGCGTTTACTTGAAGGGCACGAAAGAAAAAAATGGTGTAGCACTGTTCCTTATGATCTCAGCGCGGGGCAGTATCTTTGCCAGCGCGAGGATTCGCATGAATGTCTAACAGTGCTCTGAACAGATTGAACCGTTTCTATGTTTCCTTTAACCCTTTATCTTCAAATGATTTCCAGCAGTCCTTCTCAGAAGGCTTTTGGTGTGAACAATAAGTTGTTTTGATGCCACGTTTCCCCCCGTATTATGTGTGAGCACGTATCTGTACGCAGCATGCCAATTGGGGCATAATCCTGTCTTTACAGCCTGAACGCGACAGGTAACACCACAACGGGGAGGAATTTGCAACCACCGAGGCATATTTATTATGTGAAAGGTCGCAGCAGTTGTGGGCACCAAAGAAATTAGGACAATGTTCATAAAGTACGGCTAGTTCAAAGATGAAGTCGGCTGACAAGAGCCAAAGCTGAAAACCGGTGCTGGTCATGAGTGGCCTTGGGCGGTTGAGTAAATGGCTGGGGTCACAAAAGGCAATGATTGATATGGAGGTGGAAGAATTCGAAGCGAAGACTAGTGTCAAGTTTTGGCTGAAAAATATGGTTTAAATTGGGACTGAGTAGACTTACCGGTGTCACTGTTTTAGGGAAGTCAGGTGAACAAGATAATTCTGATGGGGAGATGGTGCCGATGTGTGCGGCCAAACGAACAGCGCAACTAAAATTGAACTTGCAAATGCCAATTGGGGCATAATCCTGTCTTTACAGCCTGAACGCGACAGGTAACACCACAACGGGGAGGAATTTGCAACCACCGAGGCATATTTATTATGTGAAAGGTCGCAGCAGTTGTGGGCACCAAAGAAATTGGGACAATGTTCATAAGGTACGGCTAGTTCAAAGATGAAGTCGGCTGACAAGAGCCAAAGCTGAAAACCGGTGCTGGTCATGAGTGGCCTTGGGCGGTTGAGTAAATGGCTGGGGTCACAAAAGGCAATGATTGATATGGAGGTGGAAGAATTCGAAGCGAAGACTAGTGTCAAGTTTTGGCTGAAAAATATGGTTTAAATTGGGACTGAGTAGACTTACCGGTGTCACTGTTTTAGGGAAGTCAGGTGAACAAGATAATTCTGATGGGGAGATGGTGCCGATGTGTGCGGCCAAACGAACAGCGCAACTAAAATTGAACTTGCAAAAGAGGCAAACCGAAATTGTAGCAGAAAACCAGGTTGATTAAAGCTGAACGAAGATTCAGCAGGCTAGAACTAACTGGTCCCAGAGACGGCTGTGACCAGGTGAAATATTTGTCCGTAGTCGAGATTACAGGCTCGAGTGACTGAGAGGTTGCGGTAGATAATCAGAAGGAGATAGCTGCTGGACTGCTGTAGAACCGGGCATGGCAGTGCCATGCCAATATTGCACTGACATACTTCGGTTTCTGCACAGTCCCCCAATGGTTGTCCCGGTTGCCGCGATCAAAGACGGTTTACGCATTTTCTTGGCAGCTGGACCTGGGCTAGGCGAGGAAAGTGAAACAGAGTCAGGCCATGCAGAGCAGCAGAAAATTTCTAATCAGTTGGATTATCATGTCAGTGTAGGCCGAGTAAAAGCGAGATTGAATAAAAACGGTTGTACGGGGCGTTCGGGTGGCCACTGCCAAAGTTTCAAGCATGGGAATATGGGAATGAGGAGGGAATAGGATGATAGCCCTGGACCCCAGTGAGTGCCAAGAGGCATTAAATAAAACGGTGTCAACAGAAAAATCTAAAAGGGGATGACAGCGACATAAATGTACCCAGGAAACGGTGGTTTTATTGGCTGGCCCAGAAACTAAGTACTTACTGTGTCAGAATAGGTGCCTGGTTTTCGGAAGGCAAGGACTCAGCCGCCGAGGTAGCTGGCAGGGAGGAGAGCCATTGGACCAGTTAGAACGGGCGATTACATGGTGGTCGTTTTTAGCTCATCAATATTTATTATGGCTTGCACGTCTACAGCTGCACTGGCTGCATCGCTGAGCAATGCTGTGCATCACAGCGTCCATATTATGGCAGCCAATGGATAGCGCTCACCATAAGTATTCAACTGATCGTTACTGTAGTAGCCAGGTAGGCAACACCTAAATAGAGTGGGGTTATAGCCAGGGGCATGTTCAATACATTACGAGTAAGTATGAGTTGTGGAAGGCTAAATGCTGAGACGACAATACATATCGGTCTATTTAAAACTCGCTACCCCCTCCCCGAAACACTGCTCTCTCTTTGTCTACCTTCTGAACTAGTAAGTTACCTGGCAACCCGAGAAAACAGAGTAGCATACATGTGACTGCCACCACCACATTACTTTGGGTACATGTCATTATTTGGATGATATGCTTCATAATTCTCATAGCACTGCCGATCAACGTGAGCCTGCTTCTTAGATTTTGCTTGTCGGACAGCCTGCCTGCATGACAATAGATTAGTTCTGAGATGCACCGTGAATAAACCAATTCGCCTTGAGGCTTTTCTAAAGCTGCTCGAGACCACTTACCATGGTGGTACAATTGAAGTACCGTCCACAGGGACGCAACAAGCATCAATTTTTCATCCCAGATCATATCTTCTAACAACTTCGCAGTGCAGCGTCCGGCCGTTCCTACCGTAGCGCTTTGGTATTTGGCTAGAATATACCAACGATTAAAAATCCATTTTTGTTCGGTCAGTATCGTTACCCGAACACATGGGTCTCATAATCATATTCAAGACCCGAAACCCCGCTTTAAAGTGAATTTATACAGTCCCTCTTGTGTCGCTGTTAGAGCGCAGTTAGGTGCAAAAAATTTTCAGCGTTGACGCACAGTATGGAGCGCAAACATTGAAGAAAATCATCGGATTTTAATGGAGTGGACAAACTGCAAGTGCTTCGTGGTGTTTAAATCCAAGGATAGGTTCGGGTGAATTAGAACAAACGCGGTTGTGACAAGTTGCATAGATTCGAAACTAGGGTTCCTAGTGCGTGAGTGTGGAGAGTCTATTTTATGAAGAGAATCGGTGTGATGTACGATCAGACTAGATATTGAAGTGCTGCTCCATCACTGGCATAGTTCTGTTTTTGGGTGGTCCTGCAACGGATGTCAAGACTTTGGTGATCGAACTGGGAATCCGCATCCCTGTGGACAGTATATTTGGCTTCACCAACGCGTTCAACATACGTGGAAGCAAGCCAACATAGAATCACTGGTAATCGCGGTTCATTTGGACGTGAATCGTGGGATGAGTGGAGTGGATAATGGCCACGCAAGGCGTTTGTAATAACTAGAGACGAGGTAAGGGACTCGGGTATAGGGGACCATGGGTAAGATCAACAGAGCCTGTTTAATGTGCGATATTTCAGACAGTATGGTGGCCGTTGTTCGAAAACAAGTTAGAGTTAATTACGGTTTTGGTAGAGGCAGCAAGTTTTAAATGGGACAGAACAGGAAGAGATTTGTGGTGAAAAAACGTAGCAATTCATGGAAGACTAACCTTATAGTTCCAACAGTGGTATAACGATGGAGGCAGAGGAAAACACCATTGCGACAAACCACTGTTGGTGTAAATGGGTGCCATGTGTTTTTTGCACTGAGCGTCTGCAAACATGTAGGCGAATGGCCAGTGCGCAAGAAAATTGGCGTAAGTTTTTTTGGGGGAATATGAGTTGTTCGGTGCGGTGACGAGCGGGTAGGGTAGCCGCTGGATTTGTTGGAGTGAGAAATTTCTCAGTGAGTTAGAGAGGAGCCCGTGTTAGTCTCTGGCTGCCTTGGTGCTCCATCAGAATGACCTCGTTATAGAGGTGTGTAGATGAATGGCGGCAGATACAAAAGGATCGACGAAAATAGAACATCCGAGGTGATGGATGTAGATCTAGTTTACCTAGAAGTTGTTACGCAAGCTGAATCATATCTAGGAAGGATAGTGAAGGTGAGTCTATGGGTCACCAATCCCCGAAGCACTGCTGTCAGCTTCAATCAACAAGTGGTGAAGTGTCTTCTGTTGACCACGGGGCGTCACTAGATTCAATGCTAATGTGTCAACTAAGTATACCACCTGGACAGAAAAATGCACCCTCGTTTTGAAACACCTTGAATATGGCCCCTTGGGATGTCAGGAACGTGATGTGGGCCCCTAAAATGGTGGCGCATCAATAATACACCCAAACAAATGGCACAGCTCGACTACTTTCTTCGTGCTCCAGAACGACCCTCACTGTTGACCCCGTGCAGCAGTAACACCCTACCCGCTCAAACGTGCTTTCAGTGTGGGGTCCAGTCCAGCAACATATTAATCAAGTCTGTGAAGTTACATCATGCACTATGATGATAGGATGCAGGCCATTTTTCCGCGCCGCTCATGCTTTGCGCAGTCCTGGATATTAATCCATTCATCCAAGGACAATTATTGTCGTTGGAATAGACCAACTTTCTCCTTGATGTGCTGGCGCCGATCCTGTCTAGTGGATTTAGTGTTCTACCCTCCATAATTTGCACTTTCATATCAGATAATGAACATACCACCTTGATTTTATCTCCGCCTCTACTACGTTCAACTTGCAACGACTTGATCACATCCTAACTGGGGCGCTTTCCACGGGCTGGGGAATAAATCTATTATCGTCTTTGATTTCAGTCTCTCTGTCTGTTACAGTGTACCAGCCAGGCTGTGTAGTAATGCGCTGTAGGGCACGAATCAGCTGGTGCCGAAAGTAAACCTCCACTTCCGTTATGTTGACTTTGGCTGCCGCCATTA